CAATTTTTGTTGTTTTCACCAGCGTCTTCCTCTCTCGGTTAATGATAAATAAAGGCACCAGCATCACACTTTTATCAGACTTTTATGGCCCAAATCCAGGAGGATTTCCACCTGCTCCGAACCAAAATATGCAGCAGTTAACTTACAAACCAAAGAAAAAACTGCAGCTGCTGATGATTAAAGGGTTAATAAAGGGTAAATAAAGGGTTAATGTACGCCAACCTGAGCTTTAATCTGCAGCCACTCACAAAAAGCTGAAGAATCCAGTCGTTCATAAAGAGGTTAGCAATAAACCAGCGTCTCCTCTTTATTAGAGGTTGTATTGCTAATATAATAATGATAGTTTTTAGTCACTGTTAATGAAACGGCTCATATAAAAAAAAAACGGAAAACCAGGAGAGGTTTAAGACTAGACTTTAGTTCTTTAGTTCTGTGCAATTGTCCAGTTTTACAGCCCGAAACCACATTATGTCGTTTTTTGATAAACGTCTGTTGGTGCTCTTGGGGTTTCGTTTTTTTTTAATCCAACCTATATCCTTATGGGAAGCCCACAAAAAAAAAAGATGAACAAAACCCACTAAGACCTTTTAAAAGATAAACAAAACCCATTTAAAATGTATTGATAAGCAAAACCCCCTGAAAATGTTAGTAACCTGAACAAAAGGCGTTTAGCTTCTTGCTGATTTTTTTCCCGGTCTGTGTTCCTAAAACTGAAGTTTTTCACTCCCTTCAGCCTCGGCCGCTTCGGCTAAGTCTCAGGTGTTAAGCAGCAGGTAACCGGGCCGACCGTGGACCCTCTAGTGGTCGTAGACGCCCAGTGTGCTAGCTAGCTAGCTAACCCCCCCTCTTAGCCCAAACCACCAGAACAAGTGTGGTGCTGTTGTGTCGTCGTCGTTGTTGTAAAAGTGACGTTTGATTTATTAGCTGTGACAGAAAAAATGAAAGTAAATCCACTTCTTTTTTTTTAAATCCAAATGTAAAACTGAGTGGTGTTAACCCCCCTCCCTCCATTACTATACACCCTCCCCCTTTTGCCGATCTCCAGTCGCCATCTATCTGGGCATCAGAAAGCGGCCGAGCCCCGGACCCCCCGATGCGGCTGGGATGTGAGGGTGCGCAGCCCCCGCGACCCGGCCGAGGTGGTGCAGGCCCTGCGCGAGGCGGCGCAGGGCTGCGGCTGCCAGGTGCACCTGGCGGGGCCCTTCCTCCTGTCCTGCACGCACGGGGCGGCCGGCGCCCGCGTGGCCTTCGAGGCCGAGGTGTGCCAGCTGCCCGGCGGGCCGGGCCACAGTAGCGGGGTGCGCTTCAAGCGCCTGTGGGGGGCGCCGCTCGCCTTCAGGGACATCGCCGCCAAAGTCTCCAAGGAGCTGGAGCTCTGAGGGGGCCGCCGCCGCCGCGCACACGCAACCCGACCAAACCCGGAGCTGCCGGTGACCTTTGACCTTTGCGTAGCGGACGCGCCCCGGGGAGGGGGAGGGGGAGAGGGGAGCTGTGCTCGTTCTGTCGTTCCGCGTTTGTCGCCATTCCTTTTTAAGAAGCTGCTATTTAATGTTTTTTAATGATTTTGTTTTTTTGTTTTTATTTTGGTCTTAACGTTATTTTCCATCATCAGTGCTTTTTAAAGTGGGCGGGCAGAGCGACACCTCCAGAGGGAGACATGCAGAAATGCAGCAACTCGCCACTGATCGAAACCAAAACAACCTCCCCCCAAGCCCCCTCCACCCACTGAGCTGGCTCCCGATTGGCTGCAATTAGCAGCTGATCTAAACACTCACTTTCACCCACCTTTTAAGTCATTTCTGTCTAAATTGACTCACAGAATCGCCCATTTTCGTGCCATTTCACACCGTTTTTGAGCCAGTTCAACATGCAGGCGCATCGTTTTGTGGAAATCTAAAAGACTAATTGACCCGACTGTACAACCCGACCCCCCCCGTGGGTCGTCTCCACCCTCAGTCTGTAACAAAAAGAAGGCATTCGTGTTTGCAGTCTGCTCTAATCCGGCGGTTCTGGCCTCTGATACTGTGATACTAACGCTCTTGGGCTCTCATGCTGTCGTCCAGCTCTTAACTCTGTGGAGTCCGATCAAATATTTCCTGTCAGAAACCGGTCGGGACGACAGAAGTAGCAGCTGTCGGACTTCTGCTCGCACTTTGGGTCCGAAAGCCGCTGGAATGGTTTTTATTTGAGTTTTTTTTTTTGTTTTGTTTTTTAACTTTATTTCTGTGCAATACAGCCACAAAAGCCAAGAACCGAGACTTGAATAAGCTTTGAGGAAAAACCGAGCAGGGCTACTTGTTTTTCATTCTGGTGTCGCTGGTGTGTTGTTGGAGGTTATCGAGCACTTTTTTCGTTGCTTCTTCGTTTAGATTTCTGTTTCTCCGTCTGTAGTTTCTTAAAATTCTAACATCTGGATGCCCTTTTCGAAGGGTTTTTGTTGAGTTCCGGTGGCGAATCCAGCTGTGGCGATGTGCCACTTGGTTTCGGTTTCACGTTCGCAAGCCAAGTTAAAAAGGTTTTTGATACCAAATTTCAAAGAGCTCGTCTCCATGAAGGTTTTAAAGCTACTTGACTTTAAAAAACAAAAAAACTGTAGACATCCCTCTGTTGAGCAGTCGGATCAGTTTGTTTGTTGCTTTCAGAGGTTTGTGACTGTTAGCCGTTCAGAGTACCCCCCCCCCCTCACCCCCCTCAAAGCTCCAGCCCGCAGCTCCTCTGTCGGGTGTTTCTATCTTTCTCTGCAGGATTTAGTCTTTTTTGGGAGATTCCAGGTGTTCACCACTGTCTGAAGATGTGAAGCTGTGATTTAGGGCTAGTTTATGCAATTCCTTGTGTACGGCTGGGCCCCCCCACACCCACACCCACCACCCACCCCCCCCTCCAGGCTGTCTGTTCTAGCTGTTGCCACGGCTACAGCTCTGTCGTGTTGTGTGTCTGCAGCTGTCACTGTTACCCAGTAAGACAATAAAACACCTGACGTACGGGCTGAAACCACCGGCCGTCGACCTGCAATCCTGCATGTCTCCTAAAAAAATAATAATAATAATAATGTGCGACACAAAAATAAAGACTTTCAACCTCTTTCACATCAGTTTCTGTGCTTTTCTCGCGCGGATCGAGCCGCTCAGACAACACCAGCCAGACCAAGCGATTTTTACATGGGGCTTTGTTTAATAGTCCGTTTGTATTTTACAGTCAAATTTTCCCTCGGCGCGAGTACATAGCCGCGACCAGACTATGCACGGATTGATCCCAGGATGTTACAGAGAGGGCGGGAGGTGGGCAGAGACAGGGGGGGGGCAGAGAGAGTGGAGAGTCCTGTGGTGGAAAGAGGTGAGCGGGGAGTAGCCAGTAAAATAACTTTACAACAAGGCTACCGGTCCGCTTTTTGTAAAATAGAAAAACAGTCACTCGGTCACGGGTCGCCGTCTGTCCGCTCTACTTCTGGGCTGGGATCATGCCGTCGATGGACTCTCCCTTCTCCAGCTTCTTCTCCATCTCCACCATCAGCTTGACGCCGTCCACCACCATCTGCACCTGGTCCACCTCGGAGGAGCCCAGGCGGTCGGCGTTGGAGATGTCGAACACGCCACCCACGGAGGCTGTGTCCACGCCACCTGGAGGGGAAAAGGGGGAGGAGTCAGACGCCCGTCCTCCCCAACACAGCCGGGGGCTCCGGCCCTCTTTTGGGCCTGAGATGTTTCCCTGCCTCAACACAGCTGCTTCACAGTCGGGTGTGTTGAGGCTGGAGACCCCTAGAACCAACCAACCCCCCCCCGTGAATACCCACATGGTACGCACCGTTTCCACGGGACAGAACTGTCTCCAGAAGGACCCCAAAACGGAGCTAGAAATCTAGAAAACGCATCTAAATCTAAATCTGGGCGGCTGTGGGTTAGGAGGAGTAGCAGTTGAACCACTGATTGGAGGGTCGGTGGTTCAACTCCTTGTTCCTCCAGGCTACATGTGGAGGAGTCGTTGAGCAAGGCTCCAAACCCCAAGGTTGCCTACTGGTGCCCCCGATGTTGGAATGGGAAATGCCGTGGTGTAAAGCGCGGTCAGTTCGACCGGAAAAGCGCTCTTATAAGTGACATCTACATCCCCAAATGTGTGGTTTTAGGGTTTCTGGGTACCTGTGCCGCGCTTCTGCAGGCGCAGCCTGGTCAGGATCTCCTCGAACTTGGGGTGTGTGCTGAGCTTGGCCAGCTTGACGTGCACGCCACCGCGCAGGCCGGTTCCCAGGTTGGAGGGGCAGGTCAGGATGTAGCCCAGATGCTCGTTCCACATGAAGCCGTGGTTGTGCTTCTTGAAGATCTCCTCAATCTGATCAGAGACGGGCAGATGGAAACTGAGTACTGCTGGAAAAGGAGGGCGTTTGTGGTCTGGGGGGGGCGGGGGGTTGTGCACTTTACCTTCTGGAGGCCGACGCAGAAGCGCCTGAAGACCTCCTTCATGTTTCCTCCCTTCTGCATGGAGATGACACGCAGGTGATCCTCCTCGTTCACCCAGACCAGGAAGCTCTTGTTGTCGTTGTGCCTGAAGGAGCAAAGAACCCATCAGACAACGGTTTTTAGAAGCAGCAGATTTGCAAGAGCGAACAAGGAGGATTCGGAGGCTTCGAAGGAAAGTTTATGACTCATTTAGGAGTCGTTTCTATCCAGGTATCAAAGGACCTCCTGAGCCACAGCTTTAGCCCCTGAGGGAGTCGGCCTGGCCCAGGTTTTCCTGCCCCCCGGCTCACCAGATGCCTCTGCCGTCGGGCCAGTCACGGGCCATTCCGGCGCAGGTCAGCAGGGGGGACACGGGCTTGTCAAACAGGAAGTGGTCAGTGATCAGCTGCTCCTGCTCGGCGTCGGTCATGCCGTTCAGGGGGTAGTACTTCCCCTTGAACTCGCCGTCCAGGCTGGCCAGGGCTGGGACAGAAAGGGGGGCATGCGGGAGTTAGCCGGTTAGCCGCCCATGAAGACGGCTCCTGCCTTTCACCGGAGTTCGACTCACCCTCAATGGAGAGCTTCTCGATGGCTCTGCGCTCCCCACGGCTGTTGTGGGGGGGCAGGGTGAATCCCTTGATGCTGCGGCCGGTACGCACACGGCTGGACAGCACGTAGTTGGGGTCCAGATCATCTCCACCCTGAGACAGAAAAGACGGGCTTCAGCAAACATCCCGACCCCAATCGGGTTTCACTCGGCCCCAAACACCTTTACCTTCAGGTTCTCGAAGTTCAGATCGGTCTTGTGCTTGTCGGTGGGTTTGTATCCACCATGACGGTCGGAGATGATGGGGTCCAGCAGGTCCTTGAAGACCTCGTAGGACTCCTCATCACCAGCAACGCAGCCCACGGTCATGATGAAGGGGTGACCTTTGGGACAAGGGGGGGAGTTCATGAGCCGGATATCAAGCTTTGGTCTCCAGCCTGATGAATGGGCTTCTCCTCACCAGGGTTGTCCACACCGGTCTGGATCACATCGTCCACGGTGAAGCCGCTGGGGGTGGACTTGCTCCTCAGCTTGTTGTAGATGTCCTTGGTCAGCACCTGCAGAGGAGAAACGCATGTGAGTGAGGGAGTTCCCCAGAAAGCAGAAGGTCCAGAGGGCCCAGAGGGTCCAGAGGGCCCAGAGGATCCAGAGGGCCCAGGGGGTCCAGAGGATCCCGGGGCCCAGAGGATCCATAGGGCCCAGAGCATCCATAGGGCCTAGAGGATCCAGAGGATCCAGAAGGCCCAGAGGATCCATAGGGCCCAGAGGATCCCAGGATCCAGAGGTCCTACAGGATCCAGAGGGCCTACAGGATCCAGAAGGCCCAGAGGATCCAGGGGTCCCAGGGGGTCCTTGGACAGCTGGCGTTACCTTGGCCATGTGGTTGTTGTGCAGGGAGAGGTCGGGGAACTCCTCGTCCCCGGAGAACTTCATCTTGTAGTCGTTATGGCAGTTCTTTGCCATGGCTGCGATTCTCACTCCGTCTGAGAGGCGGCGGGAGGAGGAGAGCGTGCGTTAAATGGTTTTAATGCCCGTCTGAGCTCAGGTGTTCCAGATTATAGAAACAGAGCAAACTAAAACACAGCAAACGGCCCATGAATACCGTGTGCCGAGGCCGGTGTCTCCAGCCTCTCCAGGCCTTTGTCAATGAGCCTTCTGGCCAACAGGAGACACCTTCTCATTCTGTCTTTGATTTCTTTCCTCCTGCTCTATGTCCTCGTTTTCCCGTCTTGTCTTACAGCAAAGATTATTAATAGCTCGCCTTAGGCCCCTCCCACTTTGACTGGGGGTCTCCAGCACCACATGACGGACTATTTTCTCTCCAGCCAACTTAAAGTTGTCAAACTAACACACGATCAGTCCTTCAGACTAAGAAACCTGTTTTTTTTTAAACATTTGTTACCCCAAAACTAACCGCTGGATATGAAAACTACACAAAAGGCTGATTTTCAAGCTCTAATTTGGGTTTAACTGTGATATATATGCAGAAATAACCTGTGTTGGGAGGGAGTTAAGTCACAGCTGCACTTCAGATAGTAGTTGGGTTGCATCTCGACTGTTGAAACCCGGTACGCCTAAAGGTCAAAGCACGCATGCCTTGCAGATAGCTGCACAAGTTCCGTGGCTAAATCAAGCTCTCCTAAACTATTCAGGCACTCCTGCGGCCCGTTCTGCAGGCGTCAGCAGCAGCTGACAGATGGCCACAGCTGCTCGAGGGCTCTATCAGAAATGACTGGTCAGTCAAAGAAGAGCTAGGTCTGTAGTCAAAGAGAAGCTAGGTCTGTCTGTCTGCAGGAATCCCGGCACATAGGCAGCATTTATGCTCGTCATGGCTTAATTCCTGACCCCAAAGGCATTAAATCTGTAGATGTAGACCAGTTGAATCCAGTTGAATTTGCACTCAAAAGTGTGTTTTCAAGTAATTTCTATGCCCAAATATTAGTTTTGGGGTGAACCGTCCACTTACAGAAGCACCACCCCAGAACATTTTGCAGAGTCCATAACAGGGAAAAATGTGCTGAGCTTCATGGTTTTTGTCCTTAGCATATTTCCCACAGATTTATCCAATAAACAAGGACAAACTAAAGCAATTATTTCCCTTTTTTACCTGCTTTGGAGAAAAGAAAGATGTAACAGATCCCGGGATCAGATCCTGTCTGCCAGATGTAGGGGTAGCCCAGCTCTGACAGGGGACGGACTTAAGCATTTATACCCAGCTCTCTGCCGCTATTGGCCGGCTGGGGCTGGGGTCCCCTCGCTTGATTGGCCACGACGGGTTTGCTGTCCACCACTGACTTTCTAAAAGGCAAAAATAAACGTCATACTACTCTGGAGAAGAGAGACGAAGGAACAGCTGCTGCCGCCTGGTCCAACCTTTCACCTTCTGGAGGCAGATGGAAGCCTGCCGGGAGCAAAGCTCATCTAAAGACATTCAAACGATAGCTATCACACACATTTAGGATTTGGTCCCCTAAAAAAATCAAACTTAAAAGCATCATTGTGAAAGCTGCAAGAAAAGCTCTTTATTCCTTCACCAGGAAAGTCAAAACGGGCGTAAAAAACAAAACAAATAAACAACAAAGATGTATAAAATTTAATTTAAAATGTCCTCTGAGCCAACCAGTCTCTAGAGTTCAGACTGTTGATATTAAAGGAGTTGGGTAACCATTTCGTTTTGGATTACATCACGAGGACAGGTTGGGTTTCATTTAGTGGGCAGATCACTAACAAATTGACAAGCGTGAGTTTAGGATGCGTCTGGCTGCTTCTGGTATGAAATGTCATGTAATGACGCATAGTGAGAACCCGTGCAAACGCCAAGTATTTGGCAAGTCTGGGAGGGAAGCTTCATTATGCTTCATACTGAGGAGATCTCAGGAGGCTTTTTAGGAGTTTAACAGCCTTTAAATACCCAGCCTGATGCACAGACCAATGAGAACCGCAGTGGGCCCGGAGCAGAGCCGTGTGGAACACCGGATTCGGGTTAAACTGGACCTCCACTAAACGTTGTTGAGGCCTGATAATGGGTCATTGTCGGGAATCAGGAGGGTTGAAGCAGGTAAACCTCTAAAACCAGCAGGTAGCCCCAAAGAGGACCAGAGTTTGATACCCCTGGTGTAGATTTGTACTAAGAGCTTTAAAAAAGTCAGCTGAACTTCTTCTTCTTCATGGGTATTGAAGACCTTTCCACTCTCATCATTTCTAAAATACAGTCCTCCGAAACTTAAGGTCTAAACTCCAGGTCCAGTTAAATCAGGGCTGGTTTAGAAAGGATTCCTAACTAAAGAACGTGACATGGAGCATGCACAACCCTTCTCTGGGAGGGAAAAACCTCCATCTGAACCAGAGCCAATGAGACCGGAGTGGACCGGCTGGGTGGAGAGGACGGAAATGAAGCGATTTTATATGTAAAAGAAGCTACAAAAAACAGCATAAAGACTTTTCATGATGGTCGTAACATCTCACGTGGATTGAGGGACCTTTTCCTAATGACAACAGATATCTGTGAAGGTCCTCTGTTGGACTTCCTATCATCTCTGGAGCTCCACACCCCCACAGACTCCCTCACTCTGCCATCGGGATTCACTTAAAAATGGCTGTGAGTGTTCCAACAGATATTCATTTTGAGTTTGTGTCGTTATATTTTGTGGTTTTACTATCACAAAATGTATCCTCTAATGACAAATACCTACTTCAGATACTGCTTCTAGAAAAAAAAATGTAACAAGGAAGTGGCTAAAACTAGAAAGACCTACAGTGGACGAATGGTTTGACATAATTTACAACATCTTTAAGATGGAAAGAATTACTTTTGTTTTAAGATTAAAGGGATCAGTTTATGAAAAGATGGGAAAAATTGATCAGATATGTCACTCCAATAAGTAAATTATTTACTTAATTTCCCCATTGCATAACAGAAGCGCACCCCAGCATTTTTGGTTTTAGCCAAAGGAGTTATGTTCATTATTTTTTTATTTTATTAATCTCTTTTTTTCCGTGTGTGTGAGATAGAGGGAGAACCATTAATCCCTATGTGTATATCCTGTGGAATTAGCTAGATAAGTCTGTTATCTAGCTAATTCAATAATGAAAATAACAATAAAAACAGAATTGAAAAAAGAAAAGAAACTGGCTGTGAGTGATTCACGCCGTGTTCCTGGTTTACGTAACTGTTCCTGTGCGCCTGGTTCCAGGGGGGGGGGGGGGGGGGCGGGTTTTTGGCCCCCCCTGTTGGGCGGGGGGGGGGGGGCTGGAATAGGTGCTGTGCTGTGGGATAGTGTGACAGTCTAAACTGGGCTGCTGGACCTGAGCCATGGAGGCATCGGAGCTTCAGAGCTAGCTGGTCTGAATGACCTTTGGGTTTTTATTGTGCTGAAGGAAGTTTTGTTCAGCAGAAACAAGCTTTTACACATCAAAAATCCTGATTGTAAATGTAAAAAAAAACTCTTTTAGAAACAGAATGTGATGATTTTAGGGGTTTCTCTCAGCTTTGTGACGCCTTTCGGGTGTAGTTTGAGCCTGAAAAGCTCTAACTAGCCCCCAACCAAAGGCCTGTTGGGGGGGCGGGTGGGGGGGGGGATCCCTGAATACCTGCATCCACCCCCTCAGATGACATACATCGGTGATATTGTATGTAATCGTGCACGTGGGCTCGCGCAGCAGCGTGTGGAGACTAGTTTGGAGAGCCGTGAGGTCTGTGGATGGTCAGCACGCAGCTGTGAAACTGGAGCCCGCCGGCTGATTTAGAGAGAAGGAGCCGAGACTCTAAATCCCCGCGCACCTGAACACAACACTCACATCCAGACTCGAAGAATGAGCCCAGCAGCTGCTTTGGTCTCACAGTCGTTCAGCAAAGAGGAAACTTTAAAGCGTTTTAAGAGGCTTCCCACTCTCATTTTTTGAATAAAATCCTTATTGTGTCAGACAAAAATCTTTTTTCATCCTCAGATTAAACTTAACTCCAGTCAGTGCCATCAAAGCTGCGATAAACATGTCATAAAAGCAGTTTATTAATAATAAAGTCTGTAATTAATGTAACCAGGAGGCCGGAGCCGATCCCAGCCCTCATTGGCTGAGAGGAGGATGACATCACAGGACCACACAGACACACAACCATGCACACTCACTCCCGGAGTCAATTTACAATCAACCGTATAAGGATTTTTATAATAATGATAATATAATCCACAGAATTTAGGAAGAGTTTCAGACCAGTTGTTACAAAAACAAGAAAACCTCTTTATTAAGTAAATAAAACAAATGTTCAGGAATGACTGGGAATAAATAGAAATAATTCATGATGTAAAATAATGATGTTCTTTACTGTTTGTGTTTCTATTTTTTTGTAAAAACGAATATTTGAAAATGCATCAATAACAAATCTGACTAATTTTTAGGGGAGTTTTAACCATTACAGGAGCACACTGTCAGTTTTAGTCTCTACATGCCTCATTTTTGTGTCTTTGTGATCGTTTTGTGTCTTTTTGTATATTTAATGCATTTATTGTATCATTTTTGTCCTTTTTTCAGTCGTATTGTGTCAGATTAATTTGCTTTTGGTTCTGGTATGATTTAGTCTTTATTTGTTGTCTCCTTTGTGGTGTTTTTTTGCATCTTTGTAATACTTTTGCATCGTTGTGTAGCTTTATTGTCTGTGTTTGATGCAGCAGCTTTACGCTGCCTGTGCCCAGCTGTGCGCTTTGGGTCTGTTTGGCTCTGTCCCTGAACATTAGGACGGTATTTTAAACCCACTTTGGGCTGGCGATCCGTCTGAGAGCAGATTCTTACACCCTGCAAAGCTCTGGGGGGGGCGTTCGGGGGCTAACGGAGTTCTCGGCTTCACACCAGAGCGCTGCCAGCCCCGAGCGGCGTCCAGTTTGTTTCTGCTCCCGGCCTCTGAGTTTGGGCCCTGAAAGAGGCTGGATGGAGGCTCAAAGGCCAGTCGGGGGGGGCTCATTCCTCCTCTGGATTTTAAGGGTCTGACCCT